CTTCAATTTCCAGCGCCGGAGGCGAAAATTTTGAGAATTTATAAGCCGTAGGCCAAAAAATTCCCATTTCAGCGCCACAGGCGAAAATTTGAGAATTTTGGTAGACCAATGGGCAAGATTTCTTCCTATTTTCCTAATTATAGGATCTTAAAATAGGCCCTAATTTTTGTCATTTTTTCTAAAATATATTGATCGTGTCTCGTGCAAAATATGAGATAGAGATACGAGACCTCTAAAAAACACGAGATTTTACGAGATACGAGACGAGCGCCCGTGTCCGGACAATGCTTCAGTGGAAAATGCGTCAGTGGACAATCGGTCAGTATTGATATAAAGTGATTAAAAGTGATGATGTAACGAGATAAAAAATGATATAAAAACTAAAGATGGGATATAAACAGATTAGGAGTATTTAAAATGGGATTTTGGAGGTTAGAAAAGATTTAGAGGGATTTGCTGGACTTAAGGCTGATATCTCGTGTTTAAGAGGATTAACAGAGATATTAAGTAATTTGGTTGGATTAAGATCGGGATCAGCCGATTTGGAGAGATATAAGTGAATTTTTATCTCTTTATATCGTCAACTTTAATCATTTAATATCAATACTGACCGATTGTCCACTAACGCATTTTCCACTGTCGCAATGTCCACTGACGCATTGTCCGGGAGCCCGAGCGCCACCCCTAGTAAGGGGTGGCGCTTTTGTCTTTGGGTCTTCTGTCATTGGGTTCTTCTGTCTGTGGGTCTTCTACGTCGACACCGATTAATCGATTCGTACCGACGATATTAACCGAATTTTTTGCCCTTTAATCACACTGACTACAAAATCGAATGAAAAATCAAATTTGAGTAACAGCGGAAATCGGAAAATCTAATGATCATAAGGATTAATGCAGCGGCATCAGAGCATTTTTTAAAGCAGCGACAAAAAATTTTGACGGAGAAAAATATTAATATTTTTTTTATAGTATATCCATGGTCACCAGATGATATGTGGGCTGAAAAGGGCGACATCATTAGTAGGTTAATTTATCTTGTAAAATTATATCTCTTATCGCAAAATGTTTATAAGTTTAATATCAATCAGTCATAACTCTCGGCATAATTGAGCTAATATACAGATATCGGCTAATATAAAGATATCTATTATCAACAATTTTGAATAGAGGTCGGCAAAATTGCATCCGGGATCACGGTTCGGGATTTTTTTCTTAACCGATGCCGGGACGGAATCTCGAGGGATAAATCACGAAAAATCCCAGATCCCGAATGATACTTCAGATGCTGATTTAACAACCACAACCGTATTTTAAAATTATTTATTTTGCAGTTGTAAGAAGTCCAGTTCATGATGGCTATATACGTGGAGAGAATCCTCGGTTAAATAGTAAAGGCCGCTTTCCTATGTACTTACTCAAAGAACATTTCAAATTTGAAAATTCTACAGCATTTGTCAATATCAATGATACTATATGACTAATCATAATAGTTATACAATACATAAATAATGTTATTATAGAAAGGTTGACTTAATTGAATTTGTTAGTAAAAATTTATTATAAATTTATAATCGAAAAATACAATGCCACCAATAGAAAAAAATATCAAACTCACACCTATAGGGGGGTTTTCAGTTTGATTGACAGGTGAATCTTGTGCCCAGAGGCACAATTGGCTTTTGATTTTGATCTTAATGCTGGAGATGTATTTTATGAAATTTTTCTTTTCCTTCACGAAGTAGTTGTTTAATGTGACATCGTTATAGGAAGAAATTAAACGCTTGATTATTTTGTTGTTGTGATGGATGGTGTGTCAATATTATAGTGAAATAAAAAATGTAAAAAATGATGTAAAAATATTTAAAAAGTTTATAAAATATTAAAATATGTTGCAAGCTATTTTTACTTTACATATATGTTTTGTATAATTTGTTGTGGCTGATGTTGTTGTGGCTGATGCTGTTGTGGCTGATGCTATAATAACATTAATTTTTGTGTAATTTCTAGATCATTTATGAAACATTAAAAAATTTTTATGATGCAGTTGATTTTCAAAAATTATTTAATGAAAAATTTTACTTCAAAATTTTTTTAAATTTTTTGTTTATACAAATATCTTTAGTCATTATTTAAATATTTTTAAAGTATTTACTATAATTATTTGGAGATAATCGAAAATATACCCAAAAACCAGGTGTCCGAATCTTTGACGCGGAGTGTATAAAATCCTTTGATCCTTTTAGCTATGACGATCAGGGCTGAGCGCCAAAATTTTCTGGTGGAATGCTAAACGCTAAACGCCAATTTTTCAAATTTTTAAAAACCGCCGAACGCAAAACGGCCAAAAATCGGCCAAAAATGGACGCCAAACGCAAAAGCCAGACGCCAAACGCCAAAATTTTTATAATCTATAAAGGCCCAAAAACCGGAATACATCTCTTTTTAGCGCAAAATTTTTGAATTTTCAAGATTCACTGCACCCAGAATTCATCCTTTTTAGCGCTAACAGAAGATTATTGAAATTTGTGAAGATAAATGATAGAAATCATTCTTTTTTAAATAATTCAAGAAAATTGGGAGGTTTAGAAGTATGTACATATATCTAGAGGTGTTGATATTTTCTTTGCCCTCCAGAATTAAAGGATTTGAAAGGGCTAATAGGATTTTAGAGGGCAGACTCTTCTTTTTCATTAAGAGTAATACATAGGCTAACTTGGACTTTTGGGATTTGTTTCGAACCTGGACAGTAGTGACACTAATGGGTACAATTTAATCAATTTAATTAAAGGGAATATCCCTGGATATGAAGTGATACAGGGAATATCAGGGGCATAGATGGGCGAAAATTTTCGTTTCGTTCGTTTTTCGTGATTTTCGTGGAGTTTTCATGGTTTTCGTTTCGTTTTCGTTTGAAAATTTATTTTCGTTTTTCTTTCGTTTCGTTTTTCGTTGAAAAAGTATTTTCGTTTCGTTTTCGTTTCGTAAACTACATTTTTGGACGAAAATAGCACGAAAAAATCGACATTTTTAGTCATTTTTTGTCTTATTTTTAAGACAAAAATTGAAATTTTTTTTCTAAGGAGAGAAAATTTAAAAATTTTATCTCCTTACAGGGAATATCAATTTAAAAATTTTCTCTCCTTGGAGAAAAAAATTCACTGATTAATAATTTTGGTTTTTTTCGTTTCGTTTCGTTTCGTGGATTTTTATGATTTTCGTTTCGTTTTCGTTTCGTACATTAATGATTTTATTTTTTTCATTTTCGTTTCGTTTAGGGCAAAATTCTATTTTCGCCCATTTCTGATCAGGGGATTTCGGGGGATACCTGGGGAACTGGGCTCCAAATACGTAGCCAAGTTTTTCTGAGCACGAAAAAATCGTATAATGATGAAAGATTAATGGTATTTAGATATGGCATTCCTCATTTAAGCGTCGCAGGCGAAAATTTTGGTATTTTGGAAGGCCAAGCCAGAAAATTTGATTTTCTGAACATCTTCTCTTAACATCTTTCCTCCATTTATTTAAAAAAATTTTCATCATTAGGGGTGTATAATTTTGGCGTTTTGGAGCGCCAAAAGACGAAAATCACGCCAAACGCAAAACGCCAAAAATCGGCCAAAAATGGACGTCAAAAGCAAAACGACAGACGCCATGACGCCTAGCCCTGATGACGATCATTTAAAACGGAACGATCCTCTTTACGCTGTCGCCGTAAAATAAAAACTGAATCTCACATTAATTAGTAAGTGCAAGTCGTGTGTGTTAACAACTAAATCACGACAGTAAAAATTTATAATACTATACATGGTGAAGCATAAATTCGGCGACAAATGTTTTTAATAAAATCTATTGTAAAAATTTATTTAACATGAAAAAAATGATAAAATATAATCAATAGGATATAATAATCATTTTATTAAATTAATTGCTCAAAATGACAACGCTTACGGTTTTGATCAAACACTTACGGTTGTGACTCACAATGGTCTCGCATTGTTCATAGGATATTTAGTTCATAGGATTATAATTTTCTACACATTTATCCATCCTAGAAAACTATTAATTATAGCTCCCCTCGATAACTTTGTTAATCTCCAAAACAATCTTAATTACTTCTACTCCTTCTATATCTCTCCAATGGATTCAACTTATCAGTTCACAGGCGAAAATTTTGAAAATATAAATTTCGGTTCACGATACAGATATCCGAAATTTTTGGTTCGAATATCACATCCGAATAACCAAAATTTTGGCATCCGGATTTCCGAAATTTCGGTTCGGATCATGATGTCTGAAGATTTCAAACTATCCGAAAACTCTATAGGGGAGGCAGGGAAATGGGATCAACCCAGAATATGTATCTCACCCAAAATATCTTGACACTAAATATCGCAAAATAATTAGTATATGAAATAATTTATGTATGAATATGTGCATGCTCGTACGGGACTGGGACGTTTTGGCGCGGCCGGTTTGGCGCGACCCGGTTTGGCGCTGCCGGTTTGGCGCGGCTAGTTTGGCGCGGCCGTTTTGGCGCGAGTCGTTTTGGCGCCTGCCGGTTTGGCGCGGGGGTCGTTTTGGCGCCACAGTGTAAATATATAATTTAAATATTGCTCCCTTCTCTGAGCAACCCAACCGTTATCGGAACATCTTCCCCCGTTAACGGGTCAACCTCCCCCATGTTTGGGTCAACTTCCCCCATGCTTGGGCCAACTTCTCCCATGTTTGGGTCAACTTCCCCCATGCTTGGGCCAACTTCCCCATACTTGGGAAAATTTCTCACATGCATGGGCCCCATACTTGGGAAAATTTCTCGCATGCATGGGCCAACTTCCACTATATTTGGGTCAACTTCACAATGCATGGGCCAACTTCCCCCATGTTTGGACTTCCCCCCTGTTGGATTCACAGTTTCTTGAACAAATCCTCCATATTGGAACATATACATGGATAATTCCCACATTTGTAACTATTTTTGCAAATCTTTATACTCGCGCCAAAACGACCCCCGCGCCAAAACGGCCGCGCCAAAAAGGACTCGCGCCAAAACGGCCGCGCCAAACTGGGCGCGCCAAAACGGCCGCGCCAAATCGGCAAGCGCCAAAACGGCCGCGCCAAAACGACCCCAACCCCATGCTCGTACTAAAATTACAACAAAAAATGAACTTATGCAATTGTAAGAGTACAAGCAAAATTGATGGTAATACAAAGTATGAGTTGAGTAAATGAACGTTATAAATTACTTTATTCTAATAAAAATCAACATAAAAATTTTTCTACACATATTTTGTCGACAAAATTTACAAAATACATTCTGTGATATGATGCATAATACACATCTGATTTCATAAGCGCAAATCGACCCTGACGCAAGAATAAATCGAAGTCTCGAAAAAAGCGATGTCGCAAAAAAAGTTTGGCGAGAAGTGGTGTATGATGGAATTCAATATTCATTTGGCAAACTTGTACTGTAAGTTGGTCATAATGTTCTGAAAATATTTAAAATTTGATTAAATAAAAAAAATGTTGATGTACAATGACTAGGGTTGTACCCCGAACGCTCGGGGGCGGGTATGTCGAGGTACGGGGTTTTCCAATTGTTTCGGGGCGGGGTTCGGGTCGGGGGAGAAAATATGGCCGGGGTTCGGGTCGGGGTACGGGGGTTTAGTGGACAAATTTTTAGAGAAAAAAATGCTCAAAAATAATTAGAAATCAATATATTTTCGTTGATTTATTCAAAAATTAAGTAGGATTTGAAGAAATTAGAGGGGATTTGAAGGGATTAAAGTGTATAACTTGGGATATAAGTGGATTTGGAGGGATTAAGTGGGATTTTTAGGGATTAAATGGTATATCTAGGGATACAAGGTGATCTTGAGTGATTTCTGTTGGTTCAAGTGAACCAACAAAAATCACTCCAGATCAATCCTTAAATCTCCAGATCAATCCTTAAATCTCCCACGAAATCCTTGTTAATTCCGTTAAATTCACGTAATGCTTTCAAATGCATTTTAATCTAAACCTTATATCCCTTTATAACTCCTTAATTCTTCGATATCCTACAAATCCCTTTATATCTCTGATTCCCGTTAACAGGACCTCGATAGTTTTTCAACTGTTAAAGTTGAGAACTGGTGATACAGGGGGTTTGAAGGATTAAGGGTGGTTCAAGGGATATCAGTTAAAAATAAAATTATTTTCAAATTAAATTTTAACTCGTCAATAATTTGTTTTTGTAAAGAAATATAAAAATAAGAGTTCTCATTATATGGATCCGAACCCAATCCTATATTAATGAAATATAGGATAAAACCAACGACTAAGCCAATCAACCACAAGTCTCTTAATAAAGAAGGAAAGAAAATTATAATATTTCATTCATTTTCTTTCAAAAATAATAAAAGCAAAGTAAAATGGGTGGAAATTTTTTAAATTTTCTTCATTAATTTTTCCAAAAAATGACATTTTTTAGGGGTATAAAACCCCGATAACCCCGAAACTTTTTGGGCCGGGGAACGGGGTTTTCACTTTTTTTCGGGGCGGGGTTCGGGTCGGGGAGAATCGTGAAAAAATCGTTCGGGAACGGGGTCGGGGTTCGGGGTCGGGGTACAACTCTAACAATGACAAAGAAGCGTCTATAAAAAATATTTGGTGACAAGGTAACATTCTGCATAACCATATTCCGATTATTAAAAATAATATATCATTCGAAAAAGTTCCGCGGTTTAGGTTCTGAATTAACCAATGGGCCGAGGATATACCCACTTGAAATCGAAGACCAGGGGTGAAGTGTGTACGGAATTTTAATCTTTGTAACTTTCGTCTCCAAGATTTTTCGGAATATTCGTCTCAAAATTTTCGGAATATTCTTCTCCAGCGGAATATTCGTCACCAAGTTAAAAATCGGAATTTTCGTCTCCGTAATTTTTTGGTGCTGGAGTTGTGGGCGTCGGAGTGAATTTCTTGATTTATTCAAAAAATAACACAAAATCAAACTGCGTAAACCTATGGGCGTGAGTAATGCTACGCTTACATAAAAATCGCGCGCGAACGCGACAGTCGCTAGGCGACATGTCGCCGGCAACAATCGCTAGTTGTGTGCTTACATAAAATCGGCGACTTCCGCAAAAGCGACTGTCGCAAAGCGACAAAACGCTATTTTTATGTAAGCACAATGCAGCGACTGTCGCCGGCGACATGTCGCCTAGCGACGTCGCAAATCGCGCGCGATTTTTATGTAAGCACAAAATTATTAGTTTCTCTATCTTTTTCTTCTATATTTTCTTTATTTATTTATCTCTATTTTTCACTTTGGTGAAAGTCAGAGTACACTCTGTCCCAAAATTATAAGTTCACCCCTAAATTTCATCATAATATGGGTTTCAGACTACAAAATCAAAATATTTTTTAATATATGTTTACATAGCGTATTTTGAAGTACATTGCAAGTTTTCAGACAATTTGCAATATTAAGGCGAAAATTACGCCAAAATTTCTCAAAAACCACTGTCCCAAAATTATGAGTTCACCTTATTATTTTGCTTCAAAACATTAGGAAAAATCTAGAAAAATTCCAGCGCACATAAGCATTGATATAGTGAAAAAATTAAAAAAAACTAGGCCCATATCATTACCCAAAGTCGAGATCCTGATGACCCAAAATCAACGTAAAACAGGGTTAAGGCTCTTTAAAAAATATTTTCAGCCCCTTATGTATTATTTTAAATTTTTATTTTAGGCTTATCTGAAAGCCCTTGAAATTTGCTACAAGATAGTTGAATCTTATTTTTTGGAAAAAATATTTGGCTGGGTTATTGAGTGTTAAATATCCTAGTCACCAAAAAACGCCTAATGCACCCATAAATTGTCCTTTAAGGTCGCTTCGGAAGTTTAACAGTCTGTATCTTTCTATGAAATTTTTTCCGAAAAATAAGATTCAAATATCTTGTAGCAAATTTCAAGGGCTTTCAGATAAGCCTAAAATAAAAATTTAAAATAATACATAAGGGGCTGAAAATATTTTTTAAAGCCTTACCCCTGTTTTACGTTGATTTTGGGGTATCAGGATCTCGACTTTGGGTAATGATATGGGCCTAGTTTTTTTTATTTTTTCACTATATCAATGCTTATGTGCGCTGGAATTTTTCTAGATTTTTCCTAATGTTTTGAAGCAAAATAATAAGGTGAACTCATAATTTTGGGACAGTGGTTTTTGAGAAATTTTGGCGTAATTTTCGCCTAAATATTGCAAATTGTCTGAGAACTTGCATTATGCTTCAGAATACGCTATGTAAACATATATTAAAAGATATTTTGATTTTGTCGTCTGAAACCCATATTATGATGAAATTTAGGGGTGAACTCATAATTTTGGCACAGAGTGTACTGTAATGTAAATATAGGACAATTCGTTGCCACTATTTTATTGTGGCTTTTATATTGTGGTTTTTTTAAATTTTTCCATTGATATTAGAGTTAGGAACGGGTCCGTTCCTAACCCGTTCCCCGGTTTCCGGGTCCTTTTTTCCGTTTTTTTGAAGCAACCGGGTTGAAACCGGGAACGTGTTTTCACGGTTTCATGGACTCGGTCCCGGCTTTTTTTTACCGGGAAACCGTGAAAAATATTTAGTGTATTTGCGTACTTTAATATTAAATTTTTGAAGGAAAAGGGAAAGGAATATTTATAATTTCCACTATTTTCTTTAATTGGTCGATGGTTGAGTGGTTAAGTTGACTGACTTTACTCATCTAGTTATGGTGTGTTAAGAAATTATATGAACACCCATATTTTTCTTATTTCTCTAAGTTCCTGAAGGTTTACACATTTGTAATTTTTACAATAGTTATTAAATGTAATTTATACAATATATCCATAATATCTTAGGTTTATTTATCCGAGAAAATTTTTAATTCCAATTTTTCATAAAAATGGGTGTTAAGAAATTATATGAACACTTTTTAAAAATCTTATTTTTCATATTAGAAATGCTTGAAAAATTTTGCAAAAATTTCAGTGAGCATATCTATTGATATTGAGTAGAAAATAAAAAAGAACGAAGTCCTTAAATAACTTTTTCATTGAGATCTCAAATTTCGAAAATCAACGGGAAATTGTGGTACAGTACTTTAAAAAATATTTTAGCCTATTTAAATTAAATGTAAAAAATTTCTTTTAGGCCTATCTGAAAGCCCGTAAAATCTGCTACAAGATGCCTTTAATCTCATTTATTAGAAAAAATTCTCCATGAAGTAGAAGGCGTTTTTATTTGAAATGCATAAAAATGTGCATTTTTAGGGCATTTAGGGGACCTTGAAATTATTACGATTGTCTATCTAAAGGGAATTTTTTTCTAGAGAATGATATTAAAAACATCTGATAGTAAATTTTATGATCTTTCAGATAGGCCTAAAAGAAATTTTTTACATTTAATTTAAATAGGCTAAAATATTTTTTAAAGTACTGTACCACAATTTCCCGTTGATTTTCGAGATTCGAGACCTCAATGAAAAAGTTATTTAGAGACTTCGTTCTTTTTGCCTTTCTATTCAATATCAATGAAAATGCTCACAGAAATTTTTGCAAAATTTTTCAAGCATTTCTAATATGAAAAATAAGATTTTTAAAAAGTGTTCATATAATTTCTTAACACCCATTTTTATGAAAAATTGGAATTAAAAATTTTCTCGGATAAATAAACCTAAGATATTATGGATATATTGTATAAATTACATTTAAAAACTATTGTAAAAATTACAAATGGATAAACCCTAAGGAACTCAGAGAAATAAGAAAAATATGGGTGTTCATATAATTTCTTAACACACCATATCTTAATAGGGATGGGGTTCGAATCCATGTAGGAAATCCATGTAGGAAATGGGGCTTAGAAAATTTTCTTTTCAAAAACTTTAAACTTTGATTTTGATTTTAAATTTGCAAATTTATTTTTTTTAATGTTTTAAACTAGAGACCGGCGCGGGACGGGATCCCGCGCGGGATTTTGCGGGGTCCCGCTCCCGCAATCCCGCACTTTTTTCGATTTGCGGGATTTTGCGGGATGCGGGATTTTGCGGGATTTTTCCCGCGGGATCCCGTCCCGCAAAGATTTTTTTAAAAAATCCCGCAAATTTTTCCCGCAAAATTTTTTGAATTTTGCGGGATTTTTGGAAAATAAAGAATTTTTGCTCCTAACTTTCTAAACTCAAAAAATTTTTGCCTGCGGCGCTAGAAAAACAAAAATTTTGATCGCTGGCCTTCCTAAAATCTCGAAATTTTTGCCTGCGGCGCAGAAAAAGGAAGGAATATGGATACTTGGCCTTCCAAAATTTTCGCCTGACGCCCATGGAATCATCTTTATTTCATCGAAACAAAATTGTCCAAATTGTTAGATCAAGATTTGATTCAGCTCAAGCTATTTTAATTCGTATACTCGAATTTTCCGATGAATATGTAT